GTAGCACGATCTCGGCTCACTGCAACCTCCGTCTCCCGGGTTCAAGTGATTCTCCTGCCTCGGCCTCCCAAGTAGCTGGGACTACAGGTGCATGCCACCATGCCCGGCTAATTTTTTGTATTTTAGTAGAGACCAGGTTTCACTATGTTGCCCAGGCTGGTCTCGAACTGAGCTCAGACAATCCACCCGCCTCGGCCTCCCAAAGTGCTAAGTTTATAGGCATGAGCCACCGCACCTGGCCTAATTTTTGTATTTTTAGTAGAGACGGGGTTTCGCCATCTTGGCCAGGCTGGTCTCGAACTCCTGACCTCATGATCCACCCGCCTCATCCTCCCAAAGTGCTGGGATTACAGGCATGAGCCACCGCACCCAGCCTAATCTTTGTGTTTTTAGTAGAGATGGGGTTTCACCGTGTTGGCCAGGCTGGTCTCGAATTCCTGACCTCAGGTGGTCTGCCCTCCTCGGCCTCCCAAAGTGGTGGGATTACAGACATGAGCCCCTGCCCCCGGCCTTTTTTTTTTTTTTAAAGTGAGGTTTGTTGAGATATAATTTACATCCAATAAAATACACCCTTTTCAGGACATTTGTGTTGACAAATTACAGGGCCAGCTAACCGTAATGAAGATAATACACTATTTCCATCACTCAAAACAGCTCCCTTGTAGTCTGTCCCCCCACCGCCAGCCCTTGGACTACCAGTCTGCCCTCTGCCCTGTATCTCTGGAAACTCGCCTCTGTGGACCCACACAGTGCCTGGACTTTTGAGTCTGTGCCTTGACCTTAGCCTGGATGAATCCCACCAGCACCCCGCTGTGTGCGTCCATGGTGCCTCCTTTCTCCCATTGCTGGAAGACCCCATTGGGTCTCTTCTTGATTTCAGACCCTGGCTGGCTCCTGTGGGAAGTTTGCCCCCTTTGAAATTAAAGAGCACATGGTCCTGGCCCCTCGGCGTCGGACCGCCTTCCATCCAGACCTCTGCAGTCAGCTAGACCAGCTCCTCCAGCAGCAGAGCGGCGAGTTCTCCTTCTTGAAAGACCTCAAAGGCCGGCAGCCCCTGAGGTCCGGACCTACCCAGGTTTCCACCCGGAATGCAGATATTTTTAACAGGTCAGAGCCTGAGGAGGTCGGCCTTCACCCACTAGTGACGCTGGAGGGCAGCATCCTGAACCCTGGGGTCCCTGAGGTGGGAACTTGGGGTCCTGCTGCTGCTTGCCTCCTAGTGCCCTCGGGCCCTGGACTTCGGTGCTGACTAAGGCCTCTCTCCACCTGGCCTTCCTGTGAGCCCCTGAAGTCTTCCTCTCCCTGTCTTCCTAGCTCTTCCTGGAGGAATCTTACTTCCCTGCTAGTCTCCAGTGAAGGATACCCCTCCCCTCCCCCTATCTTGCAAATCTCCTGTTTCCACAGAACCTCCCTTGGTAAAAATGCTCTGCAGCTGCACCTGGGCAGCCTTCTTCCCTCTCCCCTGCAGGCTGCACCCTCCTCCGTCTGTCCTTCCAGTCCATGTTCCTGACCTTTCTTTGGGGATAGGCAATGCTGCTTTTTAACAAATGCCCATCTTTCTAGAATTGTTAGGCCATCTTCACTGGGAGGTTCCCGAGAGGTTTGTGAGCGAGTCTGTAAGGCAGCGCGATCCTGAGCCTGGGGTTTTCCTTCTCAGTGACGTCGTGATCGTGGAGCGTGGGAAGGGCGATGGCGTTCCCGAGAGGAGGAAGCTCGGCAGGATGAAGCTCCTGCAGTTCTGTGAGAACCACCGGCCGGCCTACTGGGGTACCTGGAACAAGAAGACGGTGCTCATCCGCGCACGAGACCCCTGGGCCCAGGACACGGTGAGCCGGCCCCGGAGTGCCTCTGTCCCTGCATCTCCTCACTGTGCCCCTTTCCTCCAGCCCTGAAGGCAGCTGTGAGTCCCGTGTGTTTCTTTTCTCAGAAGCTCCTCGACTATGAGGTGGACAGTGATGAGGAGTGGGAAGAAGAGGAGCCCGGGGAGTCCCTGTCCCACAGTGAGGGGGTAAGGATGTGCCCTAGCTGTGTTCACTGACAGATGGCTTGTATTTGAGTCCCTGTCCCACAGTGAGGGGCTAAGGACGCAGTCAAGCTGTGTTCACTCACTGACAGCTGGTGTTTGACCTGCTGTGTGGCCTGAAACCCGAACGTACCTCAACATCCAGACTTCCAGCTTCTCTCCCAAAATCTCATCTGGTGACACTCGCCCACATGGCTGCTGGGGGTGGGAGCCCGTCCTCATCTGCACCGTGGCCCCACAGCCCCCTCTCGCCTCCTGCCGACCTGCCACGCACCATTTCCACCTGACTGCCCAGCTGCTGTGACCTAGTGGGCTTTCTGCCGATGCTCACAGTGTCTGTCAGGAGGCCATGCCGAGCAGATGTTCACAGCTTTACATTTTTTTGTTTCTTTAAGACAGAGTCTCACTCTATCGCCCAGGCTCGAGTACAGTGGCGCGATCTCAGCTCACTGCAACTTCTGCCTCCCAGGCTCAAGTGATTCTTCTGCCCCAGCCTCCAAGTAGCTGGGACTACAGGCGCCCGCCACCACGCCCGGCTAATTTCTTTTTTGTATTTTTAGTAGAGACGGGGTTTTACCATGTTAGGCAGGATGGTCTCCATCTGCTGACCTCGTGATCCACTCATCTCGACCTCCCAAAGTGCTGGGATTACGGGCTTGAGCCACCGCGCCCGGCCTAAAACTACTCTTAGAGCAGTTTTAGGGTCGCAGCAAAATCGATTGGAAGGTACAGAAAGTTCCCATACACCTCCTTCCCCAAAGCCAAGCCAAGCCACACGTTACCAACATCACCTTCCAGAGCAGTGGACTGGTTACAATCATTGCACTCAGGCCGGGCACTGTGGCTTAAGCCTGTTATCCCAGCACTTTGGGAGGCCGAGGTAGGAGGATCACTTGAGCCTGGGAGTTGGAGACCAGCCTGGGCAACATGACAAAACTCCATCTCTATAAGAAAAAATTTTAAAATTAGCCAAGCAGTGGCGGTGGCATGCATCTGTAGTCTCAGCTACTCAGGAGACTAAGGCGGGAGGATTGCTGGAGGCTAGGAGATTGAGGCTGCAGTGAGCTATGATCATGCCACTGCACTGCAACCTGGGCGACAGAGCGAGACCCTGTCTCTAAAAATAAATACATAAAATCACCACCACCCAGAGTCTACGGTCTCTGTTAGGGTTGGTTCCTGGTGTAGAGGGTTCTGTGATTTGAATGGATGTTGGATGCTGTGCGTCCACCTTTATTGTTCTGAACAAAGAGGCCTCTCCCTGCTGAAAGGCCCCTGTGCTCTGTCCGTCCAATCCCCTGGAAATCACCAACCTGTCTGTCTCCGTGGATCGGCCTTTTCCAGATTGCCCTGTAGCTGGAATCGCACTGCGTGTGGCTCCTTTCACTTGGCAGTATGCATTGACAGTTCCCCCATGTCTGTTCGTGGCTTGATAGCTCATTTTTTTTTCACACCGAATAATATCCCATGTGGTAACATTTTTATTTTTGTTCAACGGTTCTTGAATTTTGCATTCAAGCACAGTTATTAAGCACTTACTGTGGGCCAGGCACTCTGATCGGTCTTTCAGACACAGGGATATGCAGAACGCCGCCCAGTGTAAGCCACAGACAGGAGCCTGTAAGGGGAATGAATGACTGTGTGATTCCAGCCTCATGGGTGCCTCAGAGGCACAAGTGCATGGAGCCATGGCGTGTGTGGTGGGGGCACTGCCTGATCTTAGGAAAAAACTCCCATGCCCATAGAGCCAGTGGCCTCTGGCACCCACCCCTGGCCATAGATCAGCTTTAGTAACATTCATTGCATACTTTTTGTCCTTATCACACTGTTCGTAACTGAGTTTCTCTCTTTTTTTTTTTTTTGTTTTGTTTTGTTTTGTTGTGTGTTTTGAGTCGGGAGTCTTACTCTGTTGCCTAGGCTGTAGTGCAGTGGTAAGATCACCACTCACTGCAGCCTTGACCTCCCCAGTCTCAGGCGATTCTCGCACCTCAGCCTTCTGTGTAGCTGAGAGGGACTACAGGTGCATGCCACCACACCCAGCTAATTTTTTGTAGAGACAGGGTTTCACCATGTTGCCCAGGCTGGTCTCCAACTCCTGGCTTAAGCAATCCCCCTGCCTTGGCCCCGCAAGGCACTGGGATTGTAGGTATGAGCCATTGCGCCTGGCTCCCTGAGTTTCATTTCTAATCTGTACTCTTAACGCAGACCATCTGTCCCTGTGAACCTTAGGCTTTCCTCCGAGGCCACGAGCTGATGGAGTTACAGGTTTTCAGAGACTTGGAACAAGGAGCAAGACAGTGGATAACCCCAGGCCCCCACGTGCATCCTCTTCTCTGAGGTTAAAAGTGGTTGTTGGCTGGGTGCAGTGGCTCACTCCTGGAACCCCAGCACTTTGGGAGGCCGAGGGGGGCAGATCACCTTAAGTCAGGAGTTCGAAACCAGCCTGGCCAATATGGTGAAACCCCGTCTCTACTAAAAATACAAAAATTAGCTGGGCATGATGGCAGGCGCCTGTAGTCTCAACTACTTGGGAGGCTGAGGCAGGAGAATCGCTTGAACCCAGGAGGTGGAGGTTGCAGTGAGCCGAGACCACAATA